GGCGTCTAGGCTCCAGAGGATTTGGGCAGTCCTTTGACTTCTCTGGCTTCTCATTTGCTGACTGGGGATGGTTTGGGCCTTACTTACTTGGAAGATCTTTATAAAGATTAAACGAGGTTTAATTTTTAGTGTCTATATCTGCATTTCAGATCATCTTACTAACATTACAGCTTAGCTACAGGTATTCTGCATAGGTTGATGGCTATTCTCCAATGCCGACTTTCTAAGAAGACATTAATTTCTTGTTTTGGAATACTTTCAGATCAACAGGAAAGTCCCAAAGACAGCATGGCGAATTCTCAGATCCCTTTGTGCACTCTCCTCTCATGGTCATATATTCCTTAACCATGGGACATGATGACGACTAAGAAATCAACATTGTACAATGACAATGAATTAAATTACAGATTTTATTCGGATCTCACCAGGTTTTTCCCAATGTCCCAGCATTCTGTACAGGCTATCACGCTGTTCCCAGTCTGTCTCTCCTGAATCTCCTTTGACTGGTGAGTTTCTCACGCACCGACAGTTATGACGTGTACTGATCAGATACTGTGTAGAATGGCCTTCTGGGTGGTTTTGTCTGATGCTTTCCTCTTGGTTAAACTAGGGGTTAGGAGTTCTGAGGAAGAGGCTACATACCCTTCTTAGTCTATCATGTATCATAGCAACATTCCATGGTATAAACACGACTTATCGCTGGTGACATGAACAAGGTTGGCTGGTTAAGGTGGCGCCCTCCTGGCTCCTCCCTATACGGTTACAATTTTCCCTTTTCCACATTTCATGTTAAAAGAAATCACTCTGTCTAAAGGAAGGGGGGTTGAGTGACTCCTCCTGAGGGTGGAGAATATCCCCCTGTTAAAATGTCTTGCCTCTTTTTTCCCTATTTATTTATTTGTTTAATCAGTACAGATGCACATCTACTTACTCCATGCCTTGAATTGTGACCCAGAACTATGGTTTTATTTTGGGGCTCAAATCACTCAGTCTTGACCCATAGACGCTCCTTCAGTTGGCTCTATGGCCCTTGGGCATGACTGCACCATTGCGATTGTTGTATTGAGCACTTTCTTACCATCTGGAGCTTTAGGATGCTCCCCTTCTATATTCACCACTTTAGTTCTAGAATTGATCATTTCTCCACAGTTCATGCAGTTGGAAATTGGCATTGAAAACCAAGAACTGAGCATTGGGTGTGCATCCTGTTCCGGGCCGATTTTTATCCAAAATAAAAACCTTTGGAGTTAAGGAGGCGGGTTTGTACTAGCTGTGCTACTTTGGACAAATTGCTCCGTCACTTTACGTCTCTGCTTGCCCATCTGTGTGTAAGGATAATGGAAAGCAATCAGAGGGGTGCTGTGTGGGTCAAGTTGGGTACCACTTAAGGATCTTCTTTCTGTTTCTGATAGCAGAGAGTTAGGCTAGATTTCTATCTTTCTTTTTTCTTTTTTTTGTTGAGAATTTTTTTTTAAACAGGGGGAACATCTTCAGATCAATGATCTGACAAGACAATAAAGCCAAAACGTAAAAGAAACCTAGATCTGGAGAAATCAAGAAGCGAGGAAATCAGATTTTCCCTGAAGGAATTTTCTAATTCTAGAAGAGGTGAACTCTCCCTCCACAGCCTCCTGATGATTGGCATGGGGGCAGAACAGCAATGAAAATCAAAACCAGGGCTCACCAGGAAAAGAACAGAAGGAGAGGCTTTCCTAATGATGCGCTGGCACACCAAAGAGCTACGCACTCAGGGGAGAGGAGAGAAATTACTGACTTGATTTGAATGAATGCATTTTCTAGGAAACCTCAAGGGTTGAAATGGGTCTAGGGTGCACCTCCAACTGAGAATACCTTCAGAGGCCTGGCAGGGGGAAGGTACTTTCAATTTGTCTTTCAGATAACAAAGCCTGCTGCCCTTGAGTCCATCCAGCTCCTAGCGACCCTGTAGGAGAGCGGAGACTGCTCCTTGGAGGGTTTCTAAGGTGTCACCTGGACAGAAGCAGACCGCTACCTTTTTCTCCTAAGGAGCAGCTGGTGGCTTTGAACTCGTGTGGTTCAATGCCGAGTATTTAATCACTTCCCCGCCAGTTCTCCTTGTCTCTCCTAGTTTTCAATCACAATGACCAGGATGTAAAAAATAGCCTCCTAATAAATAATAATAAACACACTGAAAGTAAGTAAACAAAAATAAACACAATGAAAGTAAGTAAACAAAAATAAACACAATGAAAGTAGGCTCCTAGCAGAAGCAACAAATAGAAAGAAACATCTGAAAAGCATTAAAATATTGGAAAGATTAGCTAAAGACTATACAAACTCATGCTGTGATGCATAACACATAAAAGACAAATCTGAATATATTTGGAGGAACAGGGAACGAACAAGTGATATCAATGTTTTGAAGAAGAGAGCAGAGCAGAATTTTTGAAATCAAAATTCCAACAGCTGAAATAAAAACACAGAGCATACAGGGAGCCAAGTTATGAAAATGACTTCTTGTGGTTGTTAGGTATTATTGAGGGGTCTGACTCCTAGTGACCCTGTGTCCCACAGAACCAAACCCCGCCCTGTCCTGTGCCACCCTCACAATTGTTATGTTTGAGCCCAGCGATGAAGCTATCAATCCACAAGACACATTAATCCATCTTGTTGAAGGTTTTCCTCCTTAAAAAAATACGAATGAAAACTTAGCCATAACTAAATAGCCCAGAATACTGAGTTGCTGGACCTGAGAGCTCCGGACCACCGCCATGGGGCGCACTAAGGTTCGTCAGCATAGCAGAGTCCACAAACACAGTGCTTTCCATTCTACTTTGATGAGTAGCAATACACCGGGTTTCCAAAGCTGGTGAGCTGCCATCTAAGGGGCAACTATTCGTCTCTCCTCATCCAGACCAAAGAATAATGATGAAAATCAAAGCCACATGGAAGGAATTAGGTCAAAGAACTAATGGACCATGGGAGTCTCAGCCTCCAAGACCCTGAGACCAGTAGAAGTAGATAATTGTGTCCAACTATCACTGTTGTCTACTCTGAAAGATGTCACAATAGAGGGTCCTGGAGAGACTTAGAGAAAAATGTGGAACAAAACTCAAAACCATAAAAAAGATGAAGCTTGCTCGTTCAGAGAGAGACTGGTAGAGCCCATGAGAACGCCATCCCATGGCTCAGGTTTGAACCAGGCAATAGGCAGGTCTGCAAGGGGAACAAGGACACTAGGAAGGTGCAGGCCCCTTAATCAGTCATTTGAGATCAAAAGGGCAGCATTGTCCAAGGGCAAAGTTCAGAAGGCAAGAAGGGTTAGGGAAGAAGGAGGAAGACAACCAGGAACTATAAGGGAGGAAGTCAGAGAAGTGATGTGACAGTATGGGGATTATAATCAATGACATATATCAAAATATGTGTGAACTCTTTAATAGAAAACTGATTAACTTTCCACACCCTTACCTGACAGATCAGCACACTAGATACCACCTGAAAAATCAGTTAACTTAAAGAGATATGGGAAGGGTTTCAAAAGTTTGTGGAAAAGTCCCATTAACTTTCATTTCTACCACTCCGTGAACTTTTTGAATTCTCGTCATATGCAGTAAAAGCACCTGGACCAATATCAGTGAGTGGCTAGGGATTCAGTGGGCCGCTAAGCTCAAGGTCAGCCGTTGAAAACCACCAATCTCTCCTTGGAAGACAGCAGGGCCTCTCACCAATAGTTACAGCCCACAAGGCAGTTCTACCCTGTCCTATAGGATCCGATGAAAGAAAAATAGACATCATATCCTGAGATCATATACTAAAAGATTTCATGATAAAAATTAATGTTCCACAAATATGTCAGTATATATAATTATAATTTGAATTGTAACAGGTTTGGGGGTAGAAATTAAATGAAATATATTAAAATTAGTACAATGCTGAATTTGCTAATTCTAGCAATTTTCTTGTGGGACCTTTCAGATTTTCTGTATATAGTATGTCAACTGCAAATAGAAATAGTTTTACTTATTTTTCCATTTGAATACCTTTATTTATTTTTCTTGTCTAATTACACTGGCTAGGACTTCCAGTACAATGTAAAATCACAGTGATAAGAGTCGACAACCTTGTCTTGGTCCGAGTTAGTGGCACAAGATTTCAGCCTTGAGTTCACCATGGAGTATTCTTTGTGCATTTTTCTTAAATCATTTTGAGGAATATTCTTTCTGTAGTGTGCTGAGTGTTTCCTTATAAAAGGGTGTGGGGTTGTGTCAAATGATTGTTTTGTACCAGTTGAGGTGTGTTGTTTTCTTCTTCATTCTCTTACTGTGGTGTGTTAATTGGTTTCCGTCTCTTGACTCATCCATGCATTCCTGGGACAAATCCCACTGGTCATGGTATATAATCCTGTTAATATGCTGTTGGATTTGGTTCGCTAGCATTTTGTGGAGGATTTTGTGTCAATTTCATAAGGGATCTTGGTCTTTTTCTTTTCTCATGATGTTTTTATGTGGCTTCGGTATCAGGGTGATACCGAATGAATTATGAAATGTTCCCTCCTCCTACTTAATTTTTTTTCTCCTTTTGGCTAGAGTTTGAGAAGAATGGATGCTAATCTTTTTCTTAAAATTCACAGGATCCACCAGTGAAGTCTGATCGTCCTGGACTTTACTTTTTTAGGTGTTTTTTTAAATTATTATTGTTGTTTCAATCTCTTCTTAAAGGTCTGTTGAGATTTTTAATTTTCTTTTTTAACCAATTTGTGAAGTTTTTATTCATACAGTAGTTTTCCCATTTCATCTAGGTTATCTGGTTTGGCAGCATACGAAGATTTTCAGAAAAAAACAACACTGTTACAAAATAATAGAAATCTTTATTGCACAAAATTACCAACACGTGAAGCCATTGTTTGCTGACCTTTTATCCAAGAGGTGTAGCCCCTTGAGAAGGCAGTGCTGCACTCCCTCTGACCCTTCCCTGAGGAATTCCCCATGCATCCACTGATAGTGTGTCCAAATGGTAGGGGGGCATTCCTGAGGGACTCAAATCAAGTCTTTGCAAGATCTTCGATTTGGGGAAGCAAAAGAAGTCTGAAAAGGAGAGATCGGTGCTGTCAGGTGGATGGGTTTCCGAAGCCAGTTCTCACAAGGTAGCCCTTGCTTTTGTCAACGAGCAGGGACATTGTTGTGATGGGGAAAACTTTTCAAAATAACCTTAGTGGAACTTTCCTGGCTTTCTGCTCACCAAGTTAGTTTTTCATTTTCTTAGAACTTCTTCATTCTAAGTCCCCATGATTCTCCTAAGTCCTTCCAGGAACTCCATCAAGATAGATATATAGCCCTATCTCGCTGGAGGCCGTAGAACAGACCTATAACTTTCTGACCTGACCTTTCTGCCTCGAATTGATCTTGAGGTCTTCCCGACATCCCAAAGTGTCTGATCTGCTTGGAAACTGTTCTTTTGTGTGCGGCAACATTCCAGTCAATTTGTTGGAAAGCTTTTATGATTTAGGCTTTCTATTTGATTTTTGTTAAAAATTTCACGTGAGCCCTGACCCCAAAATAGTTTTTCCATGGCACAAAAGTATCTCCTCCCACCTTTTTTAAGACACCCTAAAGAAACTAAAAGTAGTGTCTTACTAAGAGAAGTTGTCTGCAGCCATTCACTGGGGGCAGAGACAGGTTTAAACGCCTTGTGTTGAGAATAAACTCATGCGTGTTTGAACTGGAACTTGACGGCCGATATTTGTTGATGGAACTTGGTATGATCACTCATTGTATTCTTGTAATTCTGTAATAATCGGTTTAATATCAGTATGGTCAATAGTAATGTTACTACTTCCATTTCTGATTTCAGTTACTATAATCTTCTCTCTCCCTTTGACAGACTAGCCAGTAATTTAGCAAATGTTGTGCTTTCCACAGAATCAACTATTGGTTTTATTAAATCTCTCCCTTATTTTTCTAGTCCATTTCATTCATCTCAATGCTAGTTTTCCTCAATTAATTCCTTCTTGGTGTTTTGGGCTTTGTTTGCTTTTTCTTTACTAGTTTCTCAAGGGATAAAGCCAGGCTTTATCTTTAGGCTCCTTTTTGAAAAAAAAGCATTGGTGGTTTTAATAATCCACTGTAGGGTGCATTTACGACACCCCATAGATTTTTCGTGTCTTGTAGTTTCATCCTCATTCATCCCTAACTCTTTTTGAATTTTCCTGGTTATTTATTTAAGACTGTGATGACATTTCAGTTTTAAAACAATTATTAATAATTGGGAGTTCATTCATATATCATGTCATTCCACACTTCAATCATGTCAAGCAGAATTGTCCACTTGCCACCAAAGTCACTTTCCAAACATTCATTTTCTTCCTGGACTCCTTGACAGCCTCTCCCTTTCCCCACCTCCCACCCCCCAAAACCCTTATTCTACTTGCTGTCCCTAGAGGCTCATCTATCCTGGGTGTTTATTTCTTTTTTGATTCACTGATTATTTCATTGTGCTTCATTCAACGTGTTTAATTCTTTCTATGCTTTTATGAAATTTCCAGTTTTTATCAAATTATCGATTTTAATCTTATTCCATTATGGTCAAAGACACTACTTTGCATGATTTTAATCTTTTATTATTTATTGACACTGGTTTTGTGAACTGAGATAGTGATCTCCCTGGAGAATTAGCCATGAGCACTGGAGAAGATGATATTCTTCAGTAGTTGAATACGGGCTTTATGAATGTTGGGTAGGTCTATTGGTTTATGATGCCTTTCAGATAATCTATGTGTTTGTAACACTGTGTTACTAAAGGTGGTGCATTGAAGTCTGTAACTTTTACTGTAGAATTGTCTGTTTTGAGCCCATCAGGTCTATTAGTGTTGGATTCACATATTTGAGGGTTCTTCTGTTAGATGCATTTATACTGATAATTATATTCCCCTTGATGAATTTACCCTTTAAACCTTATATCATTTCCTTCTCTGTTTCCTATAATAGTTTTGACTTAAAGCCTATTCTATGGTATTAATGTAGCCAATTCTCTTTTGGTTTCTATTTGCAAGTAGTATTTTACTCTACTCTCTTTTATTTTAAAATGGGTCTCTTATAGACAATATAAAATCTGGTTCTGTATTTTCTCTGTCTATTCAGCCAATCTTTGCCCTGTGATTGGAGACTGCAGTTCGTTCACATTTGAAGTAATTGCCCATAAAGATGGGCTTAATGTCCTTTTTGAGGCAAAGGGATACTTATCATCATTTTGATAATTTCAAACTTTTAATTATGAATTAAGTGAGCGCTTACATTTCAGATGGTCATTTTTGTATTGCCAACTTAAGCGACGTATCTAAGAGCCCAATAGCTTGCTCTGTCCTTCGCTGCTTTTTCCCACCCTTCACATTCTTGTAGGAAAGTATCTTCCCTGTCACCCAACTTAACAGCCTAGCACTTTCCCTCCCCTGGCTTTTCCTCTCACCCTTGGTAACTGTCAAAGTCGTTCCTTTTGGTATAAAAACCTTGGTCTTCCTTTTTTCCCCTTTTAGAACAGTGATCTTGTATAATATTTGACTTTTTTGATGCACTAACTTCACTCAGCTTAATTTTCTAGAAATCCATCCATGTCAGGAGATATTTCCCAGTGCCATCGTTCTTCTTTAGTGATGCATAGTATTCCACTGTCTGTACGTCCCAAAGTTTATCCACTCTTCCACTTAATGGTATTTGAGTTGTTTCATCTTCTTGCTATTGTGACTAGTGCTGTAATGAACACAGGAGTCATACATCTGCTTATGCCTTGATCCTTATTTCTTTAGGGTATATACCAAATACAGGGGTTGCTGTCATATGGTCTTTTAATCTTGCTGTTTGAGAAAGCACCGTACTGTTTTCCAAATTGGTTGGGCAACTTTAGAGTCCCACCAGCAGTTTATAAGGATCCCAATCCATCCACACTCTCATTAGCATTTGTTATTTGAAATTTTTGTTACTTGTTTTTTCTTGTAAAAGTTGGTCTCATAGAACATTTGTTCTTTTGTAACTGGCTAACTTCACTCAAAATAATTTTATCCAGGCCCATCCAGTCATGAGGTGCCTTATGGTTTCATCATTGTTTTTTGAGGGATGCATAGTATTCCAATGCGTATATGCCAAGGTCTCTTCTACTGGTGAGCATGTATGTTGTTTCCACCGTGAATGAGGAGGAAGCATCAAGAGAATATGGAAAGAATACACAGCCACTCTACCCAAATAACTAGAAGATAGTCCACCACTTCAAGAGGTAGCATATAAGCAAGAACCAATGGTGCTAAAGAAAGTTCAAGTGGCACTGAGTGTATCAGCGAAAGGCAAGGCCTTGAAAATTGATAGAATTCCAATCGAAATATTTCAACAAGCTAATGAAGCACTAGAAGCACTCACTCGTCTATGCCAGGACATTTGGAAGATAATTACTTGGCCAACTAATTGGAAAAGATCCATATTTGTGTCCATTCACAAGAAAGGTGGCCCAACAGAATGCTCAAACTACAGAAAAATATAATTGTTATCCCACACAAATAAAATAGTCTTAAAAGTCATCCAATAACAGTTGCAGGAGTATATTGACAGGAAGCTTCCAGAAGTTCAGGCTGAATTCAGAAGAGGATATGGGATAAGGGATATAATTTCTGATGTTAGATGGATCTTGGCTCAAAGCAGAGAAGACCAGAAAGATGTTTACTTGTGTTTTATTGACTGTGCAAAGGTATTCGACTGTGTGGCCCATAATCAACTAAGGATTACCTTGCGAAGAATGGGAATTCCAGAACACTTCATTGGGCACATGAGGCACTTGTACATGGATCAAGAGGAAGTTGTGTGAACAGAACAAGGGAAAATCAGGAAAGGTGTGCATCAGGGTTGTATCCCCTCACCATACTTGTTCAAATGTATGCTGACCAAATAGTCAGAGAAGCTAGTTTATATGAAGAATGTGCCATCGAGATGGAAGGAGATCTTATCAACAACCTGTGATACGCAGAGACACAACCTTGCTTGCTGAACCTGAGGAGGATTGAAGAACTTGGTGATGAAGGTCAGGGATATCAGCCTTCAGGGTGGATGACACCTCAATGTAAACAAGACCCAAATCCTCACAACTAGACCAATAGGCAACATCATGATAGATGGAGAAAAGATTGAAGTTGTCAAGGATTTTGTCTTCCTTGCATCCACCATCAATCAATGCTCATGCAAGCAGCAGTCAAGAGATCAAAAGATGTATTCCATTAGGTAAATGTGCTGCACAAGACCTTTTGAGAGTTTTGAAAAGCAAGGGCATTACTTTGAAACCTAAAGTGTGCCTGACACAAGTCAGGGTATTTTTCAGTGCCTCATCTGCATATGAAAGTTGGGCACTGAATAAGAAAGACAGAAGAAGAATTGATGTATTTGAGTTGTGGTGCTGGAAAAGAATAAATATTGAAAGTACCATGGACTGCTAAAAGGACAAACCAGTCTATCTCGGAAGAAGTATGGGCAGTGTGCTTCTTGAAGGCAAAGATGTCAAGACTTTGTCTTACATACTTTGGACATATTGTCGAGAGACCAGTCCCTGAACAAGGACATCATGTTTGGTTAAGTGGAGGGGCATCAAACGAGAGGAAGGCATTCAATGAGAAGGATTGACACAGTGGCTTCAGCAACGGGCTCGACATCTTGCAGTGTTCCGTTCTATTGTGCATAGGGTGGTTATGGGTTGGAACCAACTAGATGACACTTAACAACAGTTGTTGTTGCTGGGTTCCATTGCGTTGGTTCTGACTCACAGAAACTCCTTGTACCACAGGATGGCACACTGCCCAGTCCTGTGCCTTCTTCACAATGTTTCCTGTGATAGAGTTCTTTCTTGCAGCCACTGTGTCAATGCATCTTTTTAAAGAGTCTTCCTCTTTTTTAATGGTTTCTACTTTACCAAGGATGAGGTCCTTTATCAAGGACTGTTCCTGGTGGTGACATGTCCAAAGAACGTGAGGTGAACTCTCACATGTAAGGTGCACTGTAAGTCTCACATGTAAGGTGCATTCTGGCACAGATTTTTTCATTCTTCGCACAGTCTATGG